AGTAATTTGTAAAAATTGTTGTTGTTCAATAAATTGCTAATATTATTTAAAAAAACTGCAAGTTAATTATTAATATGAGTGATAAATAGTAAAAAATAGAGAAATGGTTAATTTTGAAAAATTATATTTTTGAAAGGTGGCATTTCAAAAATGGTGTTTCTCAAAATCTCTATAAAATTGGATGACAATATTCAAAATCTATTTATAAACATAAAATACAAAACAAAAATATTGACGAAATAAGTTGGTTTTACAAAACAATTTAATAAAAAATGTTGTTTTGTAAAATTTAATACAATTGTAAACATAAATATTTAAATTTCGTCAAACATAATTTTTATCAATACTTTCACAAGTTTAATTAATTAATTTATTTTCAAAAATTCGGCAAAATTCTACAAGATTCCGCTTTACCATTTAAATTCAAACTTATTCTGCAAAATTCCGCAAAAAATCACTAAAAATTCTGCAAGATTCTGCAAAATTCCTCCGGTACCATTTATACCCATTATATGATATTAACGTTAAAGTGTAAACTTGATTTATTATTTATATAGAGAAGTTACGATTTTATTTGTAATATATAAGAGTGATAAAACAGTTGTTATATTTAAAAGAGAAGTTCTTAATGTAGGATCTTCTAAATTCCTTCTCACCTTCATGGGGGTATTTAGAATATTTTATTACACAATCAAAACATAATCATTCATGTGTATCATAACTTACTAAATATAACGCTAGTGGCTCCTCGGTAGCATTTAGGCATGGGTCAGTGCTTGCGTCTACGAGCTCGAGTGATAGAGCACACAACCAAACAAAAGAAAAGAAAAACAACTAGTTCCATGTATCGTTTTAGTCTGTAAGGTATCTAGGCATTAAGCACGAACTTATACGTAAATAACCAAAAAAATATTGGAGAAGTAAAACTGCAATATTATGCCAACTGAAATGGAGTGTGTGCACAAGAGGTGATAGAAAAAAAGACTCAAAAATAAAGGCGACCATTTTGAATCAACAAGACGATGAAATTTCACTCAGATACCAATTCGGCAGATCGGATTCCGTTTAATGAGACCGAGATCCACCTACGACGGAGAACGAAATGGGGAATTGAGTATATATGGCAATGGAAACAAGGGAATGTTTATCTAAAGATGTCTTAAGAAGAAAGAGATCTTGTGGTTACCTTGTGTCCAAACAAATCTCGGATGCTGTRGATACCATATAATATCATTGTTGGTCTGGTTTATGAACAAAAGAGAAACATCAGAGCAATGAACACATGAGATGTTGAGGGGGAGGGAATTCAAAAAATCATACCTTTCAAGACCAAGACCCCAAGCTATGACTCGTACATCCTCAGGGAGACCCATCGGTAGAAGCATTTCGGGTCTGAACATTCCAGAGTTTCCAATTTCCARCCACTTGCCTAATTTTTCATGGTAGCTGAAATCCAGTAACAGACAAGGTTTAACCTTTTCTTTTTTTTTTCCCCTCGATTTTATGCATTTTACAATATTAGATAGTTTCCATCAGTTACCCGAAGATCTCCATGCTTGGTTCTGTGTAAGGGTTGTATGCTGGCTTGAACCGCAGCTTTGACATACCTGAAAAAAACATAATCGCATGAGATTTTGTTTCTCTCTCTCTCGAGTGTACGAGAACCAAAATGTGAAAAGAGGTATTTACCTAAGCGTGAGAAGAAGTCCTTTAATACACCAATCAGGTCTCCCAATGTAAGTCCCCGGTCACATATCAAACCTGATCAAAACATGAGATATCATTTAGCCGGTTAAATATGCAAATTCAAAAACAGATAACTGTGACAACAACATCTGCCAATCAGTACTARACCTTCCATTTGATGGAACTCTGCCAGATGGGTCCGATCAACAGCCTCGTTTCTGAACACACGATCAATCGAAAAATACTTCTTGGGGGCAAAAGGTTTCTACAGAACAGAGAGAAACAAATCTAGTTATYCTACTGAAATTTGGAAACAACTTTCCAKAACCTGTAAGTGGGCTAGCTAGTAAAGTGAACCACTTGGAAACATAACACAGTTATGGGACTGAGAATTGAAACGCTAATAAGCTAAAAGTCTGGTCAGACCTGTGCTAGTGCATAAAGCATCCTAGAAGAGACAGCTGTTGTGTGAGTTCGGAGAAGATTCTTGTTGGCTTCTTCTCTCTTCCAATCACAATTATACCTTCAATGAAAAAGGCCATGTCAGAGTGATTACATATTAGTTGCAACTAAAACGAGGCAATAACCAGAAATACAAGTCATTTACCCTCTTGATCTATATCCACCAGACTCATGAACACGTTTCACCCTCTCAACATAATCTTRTGGAAGTGTCCTTGTCGTACAAGGAGCTACACTCGAAGAAAAATTTGCAACTCAAAATTAAGGGTTAGATAGTCATTGGGATGTCATCAAGCAACCAAGAAAAAGCTGCCCCGAAATAAAATCAGTGACTTTTA